TCCTTGCTTCTTGATCTCAGAGGAACAGGAGCCCAGCTTCCATACCCAGCCTGCGTCCTGGAACCATGCCAGTTAAAATCTTTTCGAACAACACCTGCCAAACAGTGCCTGGTAAGCATCAATCATGATTTGATACATGATGCCCCATCTCGGAGTCCATTTGAGGCTCTGTGTGGTAAAATGACAGCAGGGAGGGACCTGATGAATTAGAGCAAACAGAAATGTTTAAGGTCAACACCGGAAAGTCAACAAGGTCCATTGAACCATTTCAAGCCAAGGTCTGAGTTGGGCAAGTTCTGAGAATTGAGGCCTGTGTTGTTTGCGCCACCCCCACAAAGCTTGTGTTAGTGTATAACAAGTCCCAAACACCCACTGGCTGTCCCTTGGCTCCTCTAGGGCAAGACTTTCATGCCCTGCTCCACAAGTGATTCACCAAAAATCTTGCCCACACGCCTTGTTTCCCACATGATCATGCTGTGTCTGGAAAAAATGCACATGGTACTTAACCCACGGTCACTGCCAGAGTACAAGGCTTCCAAAATGTAAGCTGGGGTCATGAAGAACACACACACACACACACACACACACACACACACACACAAAACCTGAAAAGTTAACCAAGGAAACTGGGATAGGTTTAGTCTTTCAAAAGGTGTAATAACCACCATAGGTCAAGAACTTACTATTCTTTTTTTATACATACGGGTATTTTGCCTGCAGGTTTTGGTTTGTTTGTTTTTTTGTGAACTGCTTGTGTGCCTGGTGACTTCAGAGGCCAGAAGAGCATTTTAGATGCCCTGGAACTAGAGTTACAGATGGTTGTGAGCTGCCATGTTGGTGCTGGAATTGAACCCAGGTCCTCTGGAAGAGCAGCTAGTACTCTTAAGAGCTGAGCCATCTCTCCAGCCGTCTGTCCAGAACTTCAAATGAACAAAGTTGAAGTATGGAAAGGGCTGACTATGAAAACTAACCAATACACGAAGCCAAAAGTTTCATTAATTTACAGAGGAAATGAAGGTATGGTCGTCCCATCTGCCACACCATGGGTTATTGGCATCATTATTTATGGTGTATAGATTAACCTTTCTTTTTCTACTCCAGGAAAGATCAGAAATGAAAACGGGAAGCTGTGAGTGGCCTACAGACAGTCCCAGAAAAAGACTAATTGTCCCTTTATAGGAAGCTACCAGAAGTACCCAGAAGTTTAAAACAAAACAGGGAGTAAGGGGGGAAGAATTGAGAGGTTGCAAGATGGCAGGTGGAGGCAGAGGCTGAACTGACTCAGTTCCTCATTGGAAGATATACCTGGACCACCCAGTTTTTTTTAAATCAAGTACAGCTCACACAGTGCCAATAGTGGTCTCTGTGACAAATGCCCGCTAACAGTACCCCATTCAAGCATCATAACAACTATGAGGAAAGAGCTCATCTTCCCCAAGGCTCAGAAAGATGAGAATCCCTCCATGTACCATATCTGTCTAGCGTTAGTCAGCCCGGTGCAGTGCCCATCACAGAAGTTTAGAAGAAGGGAAAGTGCACCGAGTCCGGAGACTTCAGGGAGGAAATGAGCACCCTCTGCTCCCTCGGAGTTGGCTCCAAGGTCTTCTTGGTAACCTAAGCCTTGAACGTGAGTTGAATCTGAGCAAAGGGAGCTGTCCCCTTAGCCAGGGCCAAATACAGCTGGTGTTCTGCTTAGAACCTGCAACCGCTTCGAAAGGTCAAAGTGACATCCTTAGTCCTGCTTCGCAGGTGGGGAAACTGAGCACAAAGAGGTTGAGTGGATTGTCTGAGGTCTACCTAAAAGGGCAGTGGAGGCAAAGCGGGAGCCCAGTACTCTCTGTAGGGCACCCAGGAGTGTGTGTGTCCCTGTTCATGCATGCATGTGTCCATGTGTGTATGTGTGTGTCTGTGCACTTGTGCCTGTGCACATAATTCCGTGTAAGCTCATGTATATGTGTTTATGTGCATGTGTGTGTCTGTGTGTCTCTGTGTATGTCTCTCTCTCTGTGTTTGTCTCTGTGTGGGTCTGTTTGTGTGTGTCTAAGGGTGAATGTGTGTGTCTGTGTCTCTCTATGTGTGTGTGTGTGTGTGTGTGTGTGTGTGTGTGTGTGTGTGT